ATGGACTCCAACCTCAATGCAGCTCAACTTGCTGGCAACAACAGCTCATTTGAGGAGAACCTTGAGCGGCGAACTGCTGCAAAGATGGCACTGGCATCTGCTGATGCTGACTCCAAGCTGCGACGAGCTCTCAGTCGCAAGTACCAGGGCCAGAATCGAGTTTTCCAGTTGGGAGAAAGAGTATGGTTTTGGCGTGATGCTCGCCAAGGAGCCCTGAACAAGATCAGATGGCTTGGTCCTGCCCACGTGGTTCTTCGTGAAGAAGATGCTGAAGCTGATACTGCAGCTCCAAAGGTCAAGACCTACTGGCTCGCCTACAAAACACAGTTGATTCGTGCTGCGCCTCACCATGTCCGTGCAGACATCCTCGGACCTCAGCACGTGCTCGAAGACCTGCAATCAGCCCTCAACAAAGTGAGACAGCTGAAATCCCGTGGAGTCACTAGATTCTACGACTTGAGACGGGTGAACCGCCAACAGCTGGATGATGTCGAGGAAGATGAACAACACACTGACCCTGATGGTCCTCTGCTGGAAGAAGATGATGATGAGCCTCCCAGGCATCGCTTTCGCTTGGAGCCACCCGTGCCGACTGCAGAAGCACCACCACAGATCATCGTGCCCGATGCTGAATATGAGCCTACCTCACCTGCTCATTCCAGCTTTGCACCGACGTCTCCCAGAGCACCACCAACACCAGTGATGGCAGAACCAAACATGTTGCTGCCCATGGCCCCAGCCGAGATCACTGTACCAGGTTCACCAGCCACCACTAGGTCCCGCTCACGGGCTCCTACTGTGGTCGAACCCAGCGAAGAGCCAACCATACCATCTGCAGCACCCACACCACATGCTGCGTCACCACCGGCTATTGCAACAGCACCTCAAGCATCAATGTCAGGGCCTTCACTGGACCCTGACACTGCAGCATTGTATGAACCAGTCGATGCTGAAACCTTTCAACAACGACGAGTTCGCTTCAACAGACAGGAGACACTTAGTTTTGGCCCCCTGCGAAGACAGCGCATTGGGTCACCACAGCCATACAACACGACGTCGCAAACAACAACACCAGAAGCAGAACACAACAGTGCAGAGCACAACACACAAGCAACAGCGGCAGCCGCAGAAGCGCCAGCCCAAGTATCGGCAGCTCCAGCTGCTTCGGATGATCCTGCTCTCTATGCAAGTCAGAAGGCACCTGATCACGCCTTGCTGAATCATGCCTTCCAAGTCTCCGGCATTGAAGCCAACTGCCTGCCAAAAGGTTGGACCTATGAGAATGGCTACTTCCAGCTCGACAAGAGAGACCGCGACTTCTGGGAAGTCAAAGCCGGATGTTTGATCAGACACCATGTGATCCCTCGACGATCCAAGATGTGCCTGCACCAATTGCCAAAAGACAGCCCCTTCACCTCAGATCAGCTTGATCTGGTTCGGGTGACCATTATGTATGACAACAACGGCAAAAGCATCCAACAGACCGACGATGGCTACACGGCTTCCACTCCCTTGGATCGCTCATGGACTGGAGTCACGATCTTCCAGATCAAAGGCGACCTTCGTCGAGAGATGGCCATGTTCGCTAAGGCCCCACTTCAAGGAGCACGACAGCTTGGCAAGGAGACCAAACTCCGGCACGCCAAAAGCTTCAAGAAAGACAAGAACAAGAACAACCTCTCGGAGCGCCACATGACTCCTGATGAGCGAGCAGCCTTCAAAGCTGCAAAGGTCAAAGAGTTGCAATCCTTCTTTGACAACCACGTCTGGCAGTTCGAGACCACCAGAGAAGCTGAGCCCAGTCGGACGCTGACCAGTCGCATGCTGCTGAAGTGGTCAAAGAATCCTGATGGCAGCCCTCGTGCCAAAGCCAGGCTCATTGTCAGAGGCTTCATGGACCCAGACGCTTGGGAAGGAACTGTTCCAACCTCATCGCCCACAACCACGAGGCTGTCGAGATCCATGTTGTTGAGTTTGGCCTCCACCATGCAGTGGCCAATCTGGACTTCAGACATAGCAACCGCCTTCCTGCAGGGTCGACCTCAGACACGCAAGTTGTGGGTGCAGCTTCCTCAAGAGTGTTTGCAGTTGCTTGGAGCCACAGCTGACACCCGTATGTTGCTTCTCAAGCCCTGCTACGGCCAGATCGATGCCCCGAGATCTTGGTTCATGGCTGCAGTTGATAAGCTGAGCGCTATGGGCCTCCGACAGCATCCTCAAGACCCTTGCTGCTTCTTGATCTATGAAGGTGACCTCAACCCTGAGTATGACACCACAGCTGAGCACTCCAACCTGCTTGGACCTCATGGCCTATGTGGTATGGTCATCATGCACGTCGATGACATGCTTGGTTGCGGTTCGCCATCCTCCCAGTGCTACAACGACACCATCACCAAGCTGAAGAGCACCTTCAACTTCCGTGAATGGAAAACTGGTGATGATGGAAAGCCCTTGACCTATTGTGGTTGTGACATTCAGGTCAAGGATGATGGTCTCCTCCTCAACCAGACCAGCTACATGGGAAAGGTGAAACCGATCACCTACGACAAGAAGCGCAGCCTCACCGATGCGCTCAATCAGCGTGAGTTGACACAGCTGAGAGGACTTCTTGGTTCACTTCAATGGCCCGCAGTTCAAAGCAGTCCTCACTTGCAGAGCAGCACCTCGATCCTGAGCGGTCATGTCACCAAGCCCACGCTTCAGACAGTGGCCGACACAAATCGCCTGCTGCGTTTTGCAAAAGAAAATGCTGATGTTGGCCTACAGTACAGCCACCTGGGCGAAGTTTCAGAACTTTGTTTGGTATGTTTTTTTGATGCTGCCTTTGCCACCCGCAGTGACGGAGCCTCACAAGCTGGCTATGTGATCCTGATGGTCAACAAAGCTTTGCTTCAGGCCAATGGTCCCGAAGGAGCCTACCACGTGTTGGATTGGCGCAGTTTGAAAACGCCAAGAGTTGCACGCTCTTCCTTGGGCGCCGAAGCACAAAGCGGTGGTCAAGCTTGCGATGCCTTGGAGCACGCCAGCATCTACTGGAGCTTGTTGGTTGACCCTCGCCAGCGACTCCAAGAGCTCTTGGACGCTCCATCCTTGTTGTCGCCCACCATGATCACGGACGCCAAAGCCCTTTACGACTCCTATCACCGAGAAGGAGTCGGAAGCTCTGTGGTTGACAAGCGAGTTTCGCTTGAGATCCGTGTGATGAAGGATCGCCTGTCTTCACTGGGCGGTTCTTTGAGGTGGATGTCATCGGAGCGCCAACTGGCTGACGGTTTGACAAAAGAGTCGGCCAGAGCACTTCTTGCACAACGGCTACGTCACGGTCGTTTGAAGCTTGTCTGGGACCCCTCATACAAAGCTGCCAAGAAGAAGACAAAAGCTGAGCTCCAACAGAGTCTTGCTGAAAGCATCCATGTGGTACCACCACATGTGATCAATGAGGAACCCGAAAGCATCCATGTGGTACCACCACATGTGATCAATGAGGAACCCAACCTCCACGAGGAGCACCAGCAGCCCATCGACGAGAATCCTGCGGAGAATGACGTGAATGTCGATGAGCAGGTGTTTTGGAATGAAGAGATTTTTCGGAATTCCAAGGTTCCTGTGAATGTCATGTTTGCCAGGACCGACCGGAAGCTTGAGTATGTCTCCGACAGTCCGAGCCATGTCGGAAGCCGCCCGCTCGAGTCCTACCGCGGTCGTAAGACGAATTTCATGTTTTGGTTTTTGCTTTTGTTCATGGCCCCGCAGCTGGTCACGGCCGATTCGGACAATGTGGAACCTGAAGCTGGAATGGATTGGTTTGGAACTGTTTTGTGCACCCTCCTTCTACTTTTTTTGAGCACAGCCTTCATGGTTGGTCGATGGAGCCATGATGCACACCACCGAGTACCACCCCAGGTCACTGAGGCTGCAGTCCAAAAGGATGAAGCGATCATCCCAGCTCGCCTTAGAGAAGAAGTCAAACGCCTGAAGCAGGAAGTCCTGCGCTGGAGTTCCAAAGCCGAGGAGTCCCGCCTTGCTGCTGTCGAAGCCACGACAGCGATGAATCTGGTTCTGAGAAACCAGAATGCTGCTGAGACCCTTGCACAGGAAGCCTCCCAGATCCTGAAGATCGCCCTGAGGCAGATGGATGAGCATGGAAATGAATGCCCCTTCTACAATGGCATGTTCATCAGCCGGCATGGCGCCAGATGGCACACGACCTTGAACTGTTCAAGCCTGGCCGGAAGAGATGAAAGCCTGCAGCGGCGAGTAGATTTCTGCCGCCTTTGTAGTTTGAGGGTGATTCCACCTGACCTTGTCGATGATCGGTCAGGCTCATCTGTGCGGACCTTGGTCTACCAATGGCTGGACCGGTTCGAACAGCGGAACTGGGGTGACGACGAAGGACTCTCCCCCATGTAAAGTTCACGCTGTGCACTTGTGTTTCGGCAGTTCGAACTGTTTTTGACCTTCACTTACCGTCGTTCCCTCTCAAGACTGGGAGGGCAGTTGCCTTGCAAAAGGCGCGGCCGCGGCGCTTCAGTGCGCCCTCTTGTTTTCGTGTTTGCGGACTTCGGGTGCCGCTGCTACCTTTTTCGCATACTGTATATATATATATAATATGTAGTGGGTGTTGCATGTTGGGGCAGCCAAATCGCAGGAACTGATGCCATGCGAAAAGAGCTTTTCTTAATTTGTTGCGCTACAAATTAGATGCAGATTAGCAGATTCCTTTGACAATGCACCCAGGTGAGTACCCTAAGCACTATCCGTGGAGGCCCTGTGAGACTGAAGCCAAATGTGTCACGGGATGCAATACGGGCACTAGATGCCAACGGTGTTACTGTTGCGCGATGTTCACTGCAAGTACAAGATGCATGGCATGGCGAGCAGGAAGCATCTATGCAGTTCCAAACGCCGCTCAGAGCTGTTCAAGAGTTGCAGAGATAGGGCGCAGCAGTTTGGAAATTCTGGACAGGTCGTTGAAGCTGCACGACTTCCCACCGGGATTCATGTTGGGCGTTGGCACTGCTGCATATCAGATTGAAGGAGCTTACAATGAAGGAGCCTTGGAACAGTCTGTTTGGAAAGCGTTTGTCAAGAATCAAACCAGAGTTCCAGAGATGTGGCTTGCATTTCGGTATCCGATTCATTGTGAAGCCTGAAGAAACCTCCTCCGTGCCAGTTCTGTTGGGCCAGCTTTTTGCACAGAAAAATGCCAAGCCTTGTGTTCAGCCACACCGGTCATTGATGACAGGCGGCCGCGGTGCATCTATTTGGGACACCTACACCGGCGCAAATACGGTGGGCATGCCTGGGTCGGCCCCCTGTTTGCACGGGAGGACGATCATGAGCTGGAGGTTGCACAAGTATGCACACGCCAAGGCCGGTGATGATATCACATGTTCCCCCCCAATGGCCAGAGGAACAAGATGCCGCTTGTTAGTGGATGCAATTTGATACAAGCCTGCATCCATGCAATTTTTATCAAAATAGTGGGCGCCTTTTCAGGGGGGGCTACGAATCCCACACAAAGGCCGACTTGCAATTTATGCTCCCGTTGGCAAACCCAACATTTGCTGTATCAAATTGAAGTCCTGTGTCACTGCCAATCTAACTTCCTGCAATCACCAGCATCATCAAACAAAGAGCTGTGGACCAAAAGTGTGCTTCAATACCGGACAACACTATATATAAGACTAACAATTCTATAACGTTCTTGGAGTTTTCCATAATGTGCACCAATTGCAAATCATTTGTTCAAGAAGTCTGCACCCTTTCTACTCGTACTGCAAATCTGCAACTGAAAGCCTGTCACTCCTTAGGCGTGTAGACGACTCACCAACAGCACCCATCCCCCAAGCTCAAAAGTCTAGATCATAGTAGGTGCGAGGCCGCAAAAGCAGGTATCACAGCTTTGTTGCAGGCTTAAATTGGTGTTAGCTTGACTTGACTAGAATGCTGCTTTAGTACTTCAGGAGGAAGAAAGTTTGGTAACAGCTTCACTCGAGAATGTCATGGACATCACTGCTCTTTTCCAAATATGGAATTCCGATGAAACCCGGGGGAGTAGTTTTCACCCAAACTACATTTTAATACTATAAATTTAACTCGGGGTGGAAATGAATCCGCCGGCATTCCACTGTGATCCCCTGTAGGATTCTAAGATATTCTAAGGGGAAAGGGTTGTAGGTTATGTACTCACAAGCTTGTTGCCAACTTTTGTCCTGGCTGTGTCTGTGTATGCTTTAGTTTCCTTATGTGTCCTTTTTAAGCATGCCGTCATTCAAGAGGCATCACGTAACAAAGGCATTTGAAAGATATTTGATACTTAGGAGATCATAAGATATATATATATATATATTCAACAAGTCAATCCCGCACAGGACGTTAGATCAAAACATGGTGTTGGTGTTTAGAGAATGTAGCGTGGCCGCGAGTCAAGTGCAGAGGTTGGAAAAAGGGGAGGCTCAAAGGCCGGCAGTATAGCACAAAGGTATTGGCTGGGGCTGGGCGGCGGTGGGAGAAAACGGGATAGATTTGAACATACATCGAAACTCTAGTATGAATTCCTACGCCATGGACTGTCGACATGACGTTTTGATTCTTGGTTGTTGGTAGCTATATTAAAAAAATATATATATTATAATATACTCTATTTGGTTGTAAGTTGTTGCTGCCCATAGACAAGGTCTGAGGTATGCCAGGAAAGAAGAATAATCCACCGTAAACTGCTGCGCTTCTATATGAGGTGTGCAAAGAGGCTCCGTGCCCACTGAACAGCGTTATGTCAGACAAAGGTCCCAAGCTCAGTTATGCAAAGGCTGTGATGGGCTTTCTGTTGTTTTCTGGGTCTGTAGGACCGTAGGCAGCTAATTTGAGTTTTGACGGTCTCTAGAAGGGAGGGAGCCTTGTATTTGTTGCATATTGCACGCCTTTTGTGCAGGGGCCACGGGCAATGTGGCCAACAACCATTACCACAAGTACAAGGAAGATGTGGCCATGATGAAGGACGTCAGTCTGTGTTGGAAAGAATACGTTATTTTTCAGCGCTCGTGTGGGTGTTGTGCTGTGCCCTTCGCTTTTTTGCCTTTTTGAACCCTCTTCCAAACACTTTAATTTGGCTTGGCCACCCTGTTCAACAGGACCTTGGCTTGAAATACTACCGGTTTTCGGTGGCCTGGCCTCGCATTGTCCCCACGGGACACATGAAGGATGGTGTCAACAAGGCCGGGAGTTGCATATTCTTATTGTTCCACCTTCTTTCTATGGAATGTGGAACTGGAACGTTGTAGGAGTCGTGGCCTTCCAAGTGGCCTCAGAGAGGGTAGAGATGCACTGATCGCAGCCATGCACACGCTTGGTATGCACGAGTGAGCAGCCTCAGAAAAACCATATCCTTAATTACTGTCAATCTTGAGGTAGTTGAATCTCTTCAACTGACCATCACTAGAGTAAGCAAACAGCCAACCACTGGACCACGAGACACAATACATACATGCCAATGAATCAGCACCCCATGGGTTTCAGAACCACATTCCGACACGTGACTGCAGGACATTGGACCAGACTTGAGAGAAACGTGATTGTTACGGTCGAAACGGGAAGCTTTAACTCTTTTCAGACATCCTCAAAGACATGAGTTGATTCCTCGGATCCTTGTCTTGCGCGGATGTGTTTGTGTCTGACAGAGAGAAACATGCAGGGTTTCACACTTCTCATGACTGTTCAGCAACACGAATCTGGGCATGTTTGTTGCAGGAAGGCATTCAATTCTATCACGACCTCATCGATGAGCTCATCAACAGTGGCATCACACCACTCATTACCATTTACCACTGGGACCTTCCCCAAGGTCTGCTGGACATTGGCTTCGAGAAAGCTCTTCCAGCCTGTGATCCTCAGTACCAACAGGGATGGTACGACTGCACCTGGGGCGAGGACGGAACACCGATCCCCACCGGCATGAAGTCCACTGTGGCGAAGGAGTTCTTGGCCTATGCAGAGCTACTCCTCCAGGAATACGGCGACAAAGTGAGACTTGTCTCGGTGTTTGGTCAACGTGAGTCAACATGAGTCAACGTGTGCGTGTTGGAGATCAAGTCATGAAGTCATGTCGGAGGACAGGGCCACACCTTGGCCAAGGTGGCAAACACGACATTCATGTTTGTGTTGATAGAACGTGTCTTCAACCGCATGTCGCACTGTTTCAACACACCAGATACCACACTATCCTTCAATTACCACAATCGGATTCTTTGTTAGTTGTGGTATGTAGTGCATGCAGCCAGGGTGCATAGCCATCAACAAAAACGTTTATAAGAAATGGGGATTGCCGTTTATGGAGAGGAACAGACAATGACCCCACCATATGCATAACCCACCAATTTGGCAAACCAAGAGCACCTGATCAACAGACCTGACAGACCTGGCACATTGAATCATTGATTGAAGGCATGGCTCCCACCCCAAAAGGCTTTCACTTCAGAAACGGCCCAGGAAGGCATGGGCCACCTTCAACGAGGCGTGGACCTTCACAGCCCTGGCGAGCGGATATGGCAAGGCGCCCTCACAGCAACCCTATATGGATGTGGACATTTGGCCGAAGGTCGCGGGCCACAATGTGCCTCGTCCAAGGACGCAGCTCGCGTCATGCAGCGTCCGGGCCCTGACGTGTGGGTGGCGCCTGTAAGCTTCACGGCGCCGTGTGGCGCGGTGCGAAGTGGTGAGGTACTTGGTGGGTCTGTGTGTGTTTTTTTCCCTTCCCGGCCCGGATTCAATAATAAGATCAATAAGCTTGGCGTCCTTGCTTGTTGTGCAGTCCACCCACCCCACACCTGGTTTTCGAGGTGGCAGAACTGCCAACACGAAGGGCAGATGAAAGAGAAATTCTCCTACTTGTAGGTCACAGACATGTCCTTCCTGCGCAGAGGTTTGGTCCACCACTTGAGGTGATCTTGGCACACTTGATGGTGGTCATGAAATTCCGAGAGATGCAGAAGAGCGGCGCTCTGACTCCGGAACACAAAGTCTTCATCACCAACAACCAGGACATGCCTTTACCAGATATTCTGAGACCGATCATTGCGCCATATGGCGCCCCATGGGCCCTGTAACCGGGGGTTTGGACGAACGTTCAGGGCCCAGCACCAAGGGAGGTGTGACAAGGCGAAGTCACTACACTACACATGGACGTGGACCCTTTTGTATGACACTTGTATGGCACACTCTGATGGAACATGATGGAACAGCTTTGGGGATTCTTTAGAAAGGTTTGTAGGGCACCTTTGCAGTACTTGGAAGACGATTTTCCTCTAGTAAGTGAGGGGCGTCCACCTCCGTGTTTGGTCCTGGTCCGGTTGGTCGCTGCGAGGACTGGCGTGAGCCCCTCACTGAAAAGAAGGAGGACATTGCCGCTGCGCATTACTTGATCGAGGGCGGACTTGGTTGGCGGCCTGGATGCACCATGCTCTGTCCAGCGATCCCCAAACGCAAGCAGCAAGCAACTCCAGGTTGTGAGAAAGATGGGACACGACGCACCTCGTCGGATGCAATAACTGTCCAAGTCGGACTCCCGAAGAACCCAAACCATGCACCGGACTCCCCGGACCATTCCTGGACCGCAACCGCAAGTTGGGCGGGACCGGTGTTTTTCGGCGCGAAAAGCGAACACCTCCCCAGACGCGGCACGACCCGGCCGCCAGGTTTTGCGATCCGATCTTTGGGGTGGATGGCGTGCATGATTATCCCAAGTCCATGAGAAAGACCCTGACGCTCGGTGTATGGCTCGCTCGCGCACGGGAGCGGACTGGAGCGGGAGCGGATGTGGACGGAGCTCGCAGCCGCGCCCAGTGCTGAGCCTGTAACTTTGCATCTCTCAGGAAATACCTGCCCAAGTTCAGCGAGGAGGAGATGAAGTTGTTGAAGGAGAACAAGCCTGATGCCTTTGGATTGAATCACTATGGCACCAGCTTCGTGGCCTACGACAACGGCAACACGGATCAGAAGTCATACTCGTAAGTTGGGCTGTTCATGGATTTTCCATGACTTTCCAGAATTGACAGACAGTGCAATGGCCTTTTGCTTTCTCAGTGCTACCAAGCCACACATGATTGACCAGCAGACGTTTTAAACTTGACTTAGTTAAGTCCACGTTCCATACTCCATGTCCAGACGTGTCCGGACCTTTCCTTAGGCAAGTACACCACCACACACGCCGGCCTGGTTCAGGGAAAATCCAGCTGGCTCTTCCGGGCGGCATGGGGTTATCGAAAGCTCTTGAACTGGGTGAAGCCACTCGACAGCACTGGGTGAAGCCACTGGCTGGATTCGACTCCTCAAGAGGCACACACACACATATATAGATATATATATATATTTTTTGCGTATAAATATAGATATATATAGTGTGGTCCCGTTACAGCCGTTACATAGATAGTGGCACGTTTTCCGATACAATTTTGAGTGGGGATATACTTTTCTATCTACTTGGGACCACTATACTGAAAGCCAAGATGGCAGCCACAGCCATCCTCTCACGACCCGCATCTCGCGTCCGTCCGAAAAAGCCAGGAATCACTATGGCGAGTACCCGATTTGGGGCACCGAAGCCGGATGGAGCGACGGCTTGGAAGACCCCTTGGCCGGAAAGCAGGACAGCGGGCGTTTGACGCCCCCTGGAGATGAGACAGGTGAGAGGGAGACTGGACAGGAAGACTGGATGTCAAAGGGTGAGAGCTGTTCAACACTTGCCCAATTGATCCCGATCGAAGATCATTTGACACGATCGTGATGTAATCGGATATGATATAATCGGACTTGGCGAAAGGCAAGTGCCGCCGGAAAGCAGAGCAGCATAGAGCAGCCATCCATCCCTTCATCGTAGTCTATCTATCCAGCTGTTTGCCTTTTGCACGGGGTTTAGGAGCTACCGCGACAAACAGCAACCATGTTTGATGGTCTTTTAGTTTCGTTAAACTTTGTGTGCAACCATTGAAGTACTGAGAGCCAAGGTATTATCAGACCTACCTGCTCGAATCTCTCAATGCAATTAAGGAGGACGGGGTGAAGATTCTTGGCTTGCAGCTCACAGACCTGACATCAAATGCACGTAGCATGCAGCCTCAGATGCATCCCTGAATTGATGCCTGAGCGCCCAGGATGGAGTCATTTATGGCTTGGTCCCTCATGGAGACTTGGCGTCACACTGGCCTGAAAAACGGTAGCACAGGGTCACCACAGACATCCCCGCAGACCGTTTCACACCGGTCGATGTGTCTGCCACGCATCAGGACAACTTTGAATGGGAGATGGGATATGCTGAGCGCTTCGGGTGCATGTGGAACGAGTTCCTTTGGGACAAAGACCCCAATGCACCCAGTGCGGACACGCCCATCTACAATGCATATTCAGGCAGCCTGCGATGTCGAAGATGACCTGTCAGATTTTGCAGGGGAACCGGTATTTCTCTGGGATTCTTTGTTGTGTTTGTTTTTTGTTTTCTTTTTGTTTTGTGTATTTGTTTGCTTCTGCTTTTGCTTTTGCTGTTTGCTTCTGCTTTTGCTTTTTGCTTTTGTTTTTTTGCTTCTGCTTTTGCTTCTGCTTCTGCTTTTGCTTTTGCTGTTTGCTTCTGCTTTTGCCAATTGCTTTTGCTTCTGCTTTTTCTTTTTGCATCTGATTTTTGCTTGTGCTTTTGCTGTTTGCTTCTGCTTTTGCTTTTTGCTTTTTGCTTCTGCTTGTTGCTTTTGCTTCTTCTTTTGCTTTCTGCTTTTGCTGTTGCTTTTGCTGTTTGCTTCTGCTTTTGCTTTTGTTTTTTTGCTTTTTGCTTTTGCTTCTGCTTTTTTGCTTTTGCTTTTGCTGTTTGCTTCTGCTTTTGCTTTTGCGTTTTGCTTTTGCTTTTTGCTGTTGCGTCTGCTTCGGCTTTTTGCTTCTGCTTTTGCTTTTTGCTATTGCTTTTGGTTTTTGCCCGCCTTTGCATGGCCGTGGCTGCGCCCTCCCCCGCACACCCACTTTTTAATAGTTCCCACTACCCCTACTACCACCAGTGCCTCTATCACCCCGACCACCCCACTGCGAGTCTTACCACAGGTACCACAACTACTACAGTATCTTCTTTGCATTGACACTGCCACACAGTTGGATGATAAGACCTTCACCTCAGCCCAACGCTATCTATACTTGATTTGCATTGCGGGGGAGGCGCTACGCCCTCCCCCGCACCTCCTCCCACTTTTTCAATAGTTCCCACTGCCGTCCGCTACCCCTACCAGTACTGGTGCCTCTATCACTCCGACCGCCACAAAGGTGGATGATAAGGCCCGCCTTTTCTTAGCCGTGGCTGCCCTCCCCCGCACACCCTCCCACTTTTTAAATAGTTCCCACTACCCCTGCTATCACCAGTGCCTCTATCACCCAAAGAAGTCCGTATTATAATAGTTCCTCTCTCCTCTTTCCTCACTCCTACTTCTCCTTCGTTAAGTGGGATGCCTTTTCTGCTCCCTCCCTTTGTCACTGTCTCGCTCTCTCCCTCCCGCTTCCCGCTGGCTCTGCTGCTTCGTCCCCTGACCTGTCTGCTGCTCCTGACTCCTGATGCTTGTAAAGCACTCCCAGAAAACACGCGAAAAAAATTCCCAGAAAAGAATAAAAACGAAAAAAAGATCCGGAAAACAATCAATCCTCTTTTGCAGGTTGTGAGCCAAAAACTTGACCTCAAAGCTCACCCATCCGCTGGCTAGAGCCTAGTCTAGAGCCTATCGTTGAGCATTTGTTACATGCATTGAGTTGTTCAACGGAATGGGACCCCCTTCTCCCGTTCCTCACAGGCAAGGTTGAGGGCAAGTGTGGCGATGACTGCGCGCGGCAAAGAGTGGCACCTGGCCCACAAAGGCCAAAAGATCAGACACGCCACATGAGGACAGAGAACTTTTTTAAGTGGAGCTGTTGACTCACCAACAAATGGAAGAAGACACACTTGATCATGTTCTCCCGAACGGTGTGCACATTCTCCTTATTGAAATCTTTTGAGCGTGGCACCTGTTCTCACTCTCTCCTCCCACCGGTCGACGGGCCCCCGGCTAGGAACTCCATGCTCCGCCTCATCGAGACCTGGGGCAGTCCCACGATGATCACTGGGCCGATGCAAGATGACTTCTTCCAGGCGGCGACCGATCAGCAGCTGGGCCGAGAGGAGGGTGGCGGAGGGGGGGTGGTTCAAGGGATGTATAAGAAGCAGTCTAAGACGTGTCATATGTGTCCATCCATCTCCGATTTCTCTTGTAAGATGGTTCTTTTTTCATGTTCCAGTGGGCTGCAGGACGCGCAGGACGCGGATTCACGGCGTTGACCCCCATGTTGACTCCTTTCAAGCTCCAATCTTCACTCGACGTCGACATGTTTCCACCGATGGACCAGCCGTCCGCAGCTCGCGCTTCCTGTCCCGCTTGCGGCATCGCATCTCGGCTCCGCCGTGGTAAGGAACATTTGCTTCGGCCATGGGACCTATGAGACTTCAGATGGCATAGAGGAATGCTCTCCCGACTCTTAGTTTTGGGAGTCAGATGCTGCTGGTTATTTTGGAAGTTGCGGAAGCAATTACGTGGTTTATGTGGTTTGGTGGCTGAAGGTGGTGAAGGTGCTTTGGAGGATCACGGGCTGAAGGTGGTTGGTTTGATTATGTTGATTTTGGATGATCTTATTGGTGAATTTGGTGAAGTTGCTTGAAACTTGGACTCATGGATGCTCAGTCTACTTGATGGTGTGTCGTAAAGATTCGTAAAGTATTCCCGTACTGCATCACTGCTATTGATCGCAGCGGGGGCCGCGATCCCAAGTCGATTGCCTCAGTCGCTTTGTCTCTCGCAGAGTCGATCCAACTCAGGAAGCGCTCTCTACCAAGCGAGTTGTGCCTGCGTGATGCAATACTTAGTTTTTTCAGTTTCAACACGCAAGCCGGCTAATTGGCCATCAGCTTGCACAGACACACACCCTTCTTAGAAGAACCACAGCTTCTTGCCTTACGGCGACTGTGGTGGACTGTGGAGAAAAAACAACGAGCTGAAGCACTGGGCCAGATGGTCGTCACATGGGTGTGAAATTTAAACGGGAGACCTCCCAACAAAGCCCCTGGAGGAAGAGAAATAGCCAGTCTACCTATTGGGCCAGGGGTCTCCCTATTGGAATGTACATCCGCATGCAAGATGTATCCGTTTTGTCATGTTTTGTCTCAGGGTTGTAGTTCTTGCTGACTCTTGAGCATTGGCTGTTTGGGCTCTGCTTCAGGGGTTAAGCTGTGAAGCATACATGAGGGTGAATGGAGGCAAAGAAGGACGAAGACACATTCGTCAATGCGCTCAAGGATATATCCAACACTGAACTGCAGATATGGCAACACTGCGCTCTCCAGACTTTCCGACGCCTTTGAGGGAGTCTCCGACCCCTGTCATGGGGAAGTTGAAACTGACATGGCGAACGCCACTAAGACTAGGCTACTGCCCGCATCTCCCCACAACCCTATTCCACATCTCCCCCCAAAAGAACGTAAGAGGATGCCAGGCATCACATAGAACCTGAAAATGGAACCATGATGAACCATGGCATTTGCATGAAAGCTGTCCTCGGGTTTTGGCAGACCGAACCTTTTGGCATCTCGTCTTCCCTGTTTGCCGTGTTGTTTTTCTGGGATCCACTCCGCCACTCTCGAGCCGCGCACATGTGGCCGGTTAGCAGCTATGGCGGGCGATGTGGCTTGGCCTATTCAGAGCTACGGCCGGCATGCTACTACGGCCGCTACGGCCCACCCTATGCAGAGTTTGAGATGAGTGCAGCCCAATAATAATAGAAGACAAAATGAGATGAATGCAAGACACCAAATAGAAGGCTCAAATAATAATAGTGCAGCCCCAAATAAAAACACATATATAATAGCCCACCCAATAACAGAATCTAGAAGAACTTCCGGATCCGTCAATGTCCCCTTAGTTGAGACTATTTGTTGCTGATATTTGACGGGGTGGGCTACTGTTCCTTGCCACTGGTTTGATTGGAGGGAAATGCGGGTCATACTTAGAACAGTTTCAAGATCAATGATAGACATTGGAGCTGCAAAAAAATCGCAGATGGAAGCGAGCTGGTGAGAATTCCGACGTCGAATGCCAGCTTGTTAGGAACAACCGCAGCCCAATGAACAGGATGACAAAAAGAAGGAAAAGAAGAAACACAAAGTTGCTGGGCGTGATTCAGTGAGGGAAAGATACGTGGGCTGACCCGCAGGGATGTTGTTGTCAGGATTGACTGCCAGAGATGCGTCTATTTTGCATAGGTTAAGTCGTTGAAACAAACCGAGACAGGCGCTTGCCAGCCTGCAATGCCATATTTTGTTGGTTAGCGGAAAGTGGTCAGTTTGCGCAAGCTAGCTGGACTGGAGTGTGCCCAGGGAAAGGATAAAGAAAAGGATGGGAAGAAGGAAAAGAAGAGAAAACACACTGAATCTGATAGGGACGACGGACCAAAACGTCCCAAAGACGATGCTGAGATGCTTGGAAAGCACTTGGCAGCTGGGAACATACATAGTTTCTTGCGGGATCCGAAGGTGGGGAAGTCGTAGCTTTTCCAGAAATGCAAACTAATTCTAGATTTGTTTTCTTTGATGCATTTTCAGCTTAAGTCAGTCACCATGAATGGCCGCTAAACGCTGCCATTGTGTTTTCATGCTGGACGTCACATTCTTAAATGATACCTGCAATCCTTGAAGTCATGTCTTAACACTGTGTTGCCATCGGAGAGGGAGTGGGAGAGGTTTCTTTTGACAAAGTCAGCGTTGAACAACTGCAAAGCGTGCTCCACTTTCATTAATCACTGTAATGGCCACAGCTACACACTTGCAAGCCCATGAATCCTCGCCAGATCCGCTTCCGCCACCTAGGAATGTCGAAATTGTTGATGTGAAAGCGAAGGAGAGGGTTGTGCCAATCGGTTTCTTATGTCTTTAAAGAGATTTGGCTTTGCCTGTGATAATGCGTCCGCATCTCGTCTCAGATGCCTGCATTCATGGCCTTCAAGCCTGTGCAGGTTCGGCTGTGTAGATTCCACATTGGACATGTTTTCAACATGTCCATGTCTCGCTGCGTGAGCGGTGCACACACGCGAACATCATCGAACATCCATCCCTTTGCTGATTGCAGAGTGGCATGCCTTCTACGTCGGTGGCATCAATGATATCTCTCCGGATCCTGTGGGCAGGTTTTGAGAAAGGCTGGTGCGGATGCAAAGGCACTCGCAAAGGTAAAAGAAGAGAAGGCCCTTGCGTTTCCAGAGGCAAAGGGAAGGGAAGGGAAGGGAAGGGAGGCTGCAGATCGGCCCAGTCGTAGTCAAGCACAACTCTTGTTTCTTCCGTGTTGCGCAGCTTCAGGCAGCTCTGGAGAAGGCTCCGGAGAAGGCTGAAAAGGCTCCAGAGAAGGCTGAAAAGGCTCCGGAGACGGTGCCGATGGCGGAGCCCAGCAAGGAGGCCCCAAAAGAGAAGACAAAGCAAAAGGAGAAAGCGAAGGCAAGGTGAGCCCCATCTAAACCAGCCAATGTGTACAGGTGCTGTCTTGAGCGGTGTGCATATCATGTACGCAGTCAAAAAGCACATGTTCACCGCTTTGCGTTAAAGGTTGGGTTGACTCATGAAAGTCAGTTGTGGAGGCTTTTGTGACCTTCACACTCGAAATTGGAAACCCTGCAAGGAGAAAGGGAAAGAAAAGGACAAGGACACAGAGAGAGAGAGAGAGAGACAGAGAAAGAAGATCAGGGAAGGAATGAAGGCAACAATTAATAAGAAAGTAAGAAGGCCTAGAGTGGTTTCCATTCACCTGCGGTGGGTTGCGGGCCAATGCTCAGGAGAAGAAAGAGAAAAAACAGAAAGATGCAGCGGAGCCCAAGGAGTCGCATGGATTCCCTAGATTGTTGATGGGCCCTTGAGCAATTGTTACTAGCAGTAAGAATGCTCCTAGTAGCGATGCCAGGAGCCCCTAGTAGCTGGGCCCTTGAGCAGGCTCAGGTCTAGCTGATATTTTTTCAGAATGTGAAAGGCGATGTGGCCCCAAGTGGCTTACAAACGGCTCGGTTGCTCCCAATTGGGGCTTGTGATCCTGGAATCCCGGCAACAAGCACAGGATCCCGGAAAAGCCTCCAAAGAGCCTCTGAAGAGTGGGGAGGCGAGCCCAACAGGCTGGACAGACGTGCTTTCCAAGACGTTCGTTGACGTTAGCCATGGCCTAAGTCATCCTAAGTCACATCCACATTCTTCCGTGAGTTTGGTGCCTGTTGCATCCTGCCGTTGCCATGATTGTACTTCACAATTGTACAATTGCATTCAATTCTACATATTTTAACTTCAATCTGCACATCATACAGGTGCCTTACTAGTAGTAACAAGTGCCACACTACTAGGAGCAAGTGCCTTACTAGTAGAACAAGAAGCTATTAGAATTAATATATGCTTCCAAATCGGATGGACATCTCAAGACACCGGAAGTTCTTTGTATCCCTCAGAACAAAGCTTTCCGTGAGTGTGGCGGAATGCTGACCTGTTGCGGAGGTGGCCCCGGCGCCCGGAAGAAGTTGGACATTGGGGACGTGGATGAGTTCCGGAAGCAGCTGGCACAGCAGCGGGACCAGCTGAGACTTTGGATCATCAAGGCGAAGCAGGAATGGGAGGAAAAGCAATCAGGAGCTGGTCATCGAGGTGAAACCAATGATCAGGAGCAGAGACCCCAGAGGAGCTCTTTGTGTCGTTTGTTTTTGGGTTTGTCCATTTGTCCTTGTGTCTCTGAGATCTTGACTCAGAGGTGGACATGGGTTCACCACTTCCATGGACATGGGCATCCAAGGTACTACATTGCCTCCATTGGAGAAACACTTGGTCCCAACCGCGAATACCTGGCCGAAGCCAGCATAGGAGCCATTGTTGCACCCAGCCTCCTCACCTGCTCCACCTGTTCCACCTGCTCCGAACGAAGCATCTGTTCCTCGAGCTGAGGCCGAGGGGTCTTCTCCAGCGTCTTTCGGTGCAAGCACGTGACCCAAAAGACAGACTATGCTCTGAAGTTCGTGCGAGCCAACAAGATGATGCGAAAGGCGGCAGAGAAGGAGGCCCAGGAAGAAAGAAGACACTGCATTAATATACCAAGCATTACCAAGCTGAACTCATTGGAGAAAGGCATCGCAAGAGATGGAGACCTCTTTTTTGAAGGGCTGACAATTGATAGGACAAGCGAGATTTAGAAACAGCCACGGCTGCCCAACTCTGCCATTCGAACACATAGAGGCATCAAATCGTTTTGGTTTTGTTCCCTCGTTTTCCTTAGTTTCGTCTTGGCCCGCTGAAATAGGGATTATGATTTGGTGGCATATGGTAGCACTAATGACATGAATTCAGTCATCAGGACGGTGTTTTTGCTGGTCGCACTACCATGCCGATTAAATCGTTGCTGCCGTGCCGTGCTACTGGTAGGTTTAACCCTGATGACTCCATTGGTGATGTGGATCATGTGGAATTGTTGGGAGACTGGACGCAAGACAAACTACACTCCGACTCGCAAGATGGAAGTAGAGCCCAGCGGGCTTCTAGGGGAAAGTCGTCTTCCAAGGGACCACTCTATCTACTTCCATGTGATGCTGTAGCTAGTACATTGTCGTATAGTATAGAGATGCTACGGAGCTGGGTTCTGGAGATGTGGAATGCAAATTGGCCCTCATTTGGCTTGATGTCATTGAGACTTCCACACAGTACCAGGCAACCTCGGCTCAACGGTGCAGGTGGAAACCTATCGGAAGCTTGCAAAGTTGGCGGCCAAGGAAGATCAGGAGGGAGCACAATACATCATGTTGCCACTCGGCTCATAAGTTCGATGGCCTTTTTGTGAGGGTTGGATGTGATTTGCAAGCATCACCTTTCAAGGTTCATGAGGGCGGGCAGGTGAATCTTCTGGATATGGGATGTGGTTGTTGATGGGATACGCTGTTGTCACATAATGTTCTGATGAGCCTGGACCACTGCGGAAGCCGACCCCAAATGCTGACTGACACCCGCATACACCCGCCCCAAAAGAATTACACCTCATCGAAGACGCCTTCTCCTTTGGCCATTGGTGCCGGGGTTCGCTTCTCCTCAGCGAGAGTCCATCAGGGCGTACTAATGACTTGAGCTGAACATATTTGAGCACCCTTGCATGCCTACTTGCTCATATTCTACCTGTAAGATCCTGTGACTCCTGTGTTGCTATAGTATAACTACCGTAGCATACCGTAGCTACTACCATTTACATCTATTTACACTTATGTAATCTTCTGTATATAGATGTTTCATGTTCTCGGCTTTCCTCTTCTTCAGAGTTGCCAGGGTCTGCTTACCAGAAAATGGTACGAGCTACAGATTCACTGCCACACAAAATCCGGCTCTCAAACGACCAGAGGGAAGTCGGACGGCAGGCATTGGTAATTAGACAAGGTCAATTGTGAGCAAACCAAGAGTGAGACGGGGAGAGAGAGAGAGAGAGATGTTAATATGTATAAAGAGTGCATACAAACTGCGTAACATGTGCATATGTAGTGGGCGATCCCTCGCCTCAACCATTTCTCTTGGTTAACTGAGATTGAAAGTAATGTATAGTTAACTTGGAAACAACATTCCGAACGGCATACTGAACGACATCTAGACGACATAATTGGTCTATAAACACTTCATATACACTATATATATATTACATGTTTGTATCCATGATGGTTCTTATTTTTGTATTGTTGTTATTTTTCTAATGGGTCTAATGGGTGATGTGAACGACATCCGAAACGACACCCAAACGACATCAGTAATTACTTCTTCAAAGTGACCAGTTGGCCACACAGTGCTGAAAGTCATAGGTTTTCATCACGTAAAAAGCAGCATAGTACAGATTCTAGCACAGAATCAAGTTCAGACAGCTGACAAAGAGACCGCCGCTTGGAATTGCGATGATTTGTCCTTGGGATCAGGATTAAGGACATGTTTTTGCGTGACTCAAAGAAAGAGATGAGAGACAGAGAGAGAGGAGGGACAAAAGATAGGCGGGGAGTAGGCTCAGGAAGTGTCTTTTTGACTCGATCAAGGAACTATAACTACTGTACTCGTAGACAAGTAATTCTACAGTAGGCTCAAGCGGTGCAACAGAGTGATGATGCTTTGTCACTTTGTCCGTGTTTCGATTGTGGCGGGAACCCAAAGAAAACAATCGGTATGCCCAAAGAATGATCTGTTTGCGATAACCTTGCATACTCCAGCGCACTGGGAACAATGGACCTGAGAGATGGTAAAGCATTGTCAATAACTCAAGTGCTACTTGCATTGTTCAGATGCGTGCCCTTTCCATATCATTTAGAGACATTTGATCCTTTCAAGCGACACACTGACAGCTGCTCCCGAGGCTGTCCCCACCTGAGACTTTCGAACATCAGGGCCACCTGACGCTTCGCCGCATTTGATCGGCGATTGAAACGTCAGCGACGGCCGCGTGACGGAAGACACCGCAACGTCCATGGTGACTGCAGATGCTTCTTTGATTTACTATGCGCAGTTGATCTTTGTGTTTTTGATTGATCCAGTTCCTGGCTACTTAGAAGCCAGGAAAGGCAGTCACTATGGGCAAGCCCAGTTCAAGCTGCGCATGTGGATTGCGTGTGGCTATTTTGCTATTCGCTTGACAATTCTTAGTAAATCGCTAGTCGCTTTAGTCAGAAACGTGATCAGACACTTGTGCTCAGCATTGGGCACTGATTTAATGTTGCATACAGATGCAGAAATACCTACTGTACATATAATACATGAAACTATATATCATGTGTATGCGCATGTTTGGTAATTTTTTACGGTTGACTTTCGTGTGATCCTCGAGTTTGCAGCCTGACCGGACCCATTCCTGTCAGGTGGGCTCCATCAATGCAGGTTTTGGCAGTCTGCATTGACACAGGTCGTCATATGCCTCGGGGCTGAGGTGTTTGGTGTTTGACCTGCTGAAGTGCGATCTCCGAACTGCCCTGTCCAAGCACCTTGAATTGGACTCGTGAACCTGGTGTTTGTTGCCTTTTATGTGACAATGTGTGTGTGTGTGCGTGTCACCCTCCGTATCTAGGAGTTTGCCTTGCAGGGGAGTGGTGCGCAGTCTTGGAGTCACCACACAACGAAGACACTCCTTGCACCGTGGTGATATCTGGAAAGGAAACTTTTCCAGACGTACCTCCGCTCAACTTTTGACCAAGCTGTTCCACTCTCGGTTCGTTTGCATGGTGGTTGATCACGATACTTTCCCATCAAACAGGTTTCCTTCAGCCACTTTCAGCAGCCTCGTTCAGCCGCGTTCTGCGGCCAAGTGAACACTTTGTTAAACGCTTCAAGTGTGCTGACCGCTTCACCTTGCGTTTCCCTCATCCATTTCACTGTGGTTATGACTAACTGCAAACCCTGTGACTAAGTGTGTGTGTGTGTGTCTCAACCCCTGTTCCAAAGGGTGCTACCTGTCATTTCTCAACTTGATAAGCAGGGGGCATGG